ATCTTGAAAGCCACTTACGGTGATCAGATGTGTACCATCTCTTTACCTCTGTGTCCTCTTGTAACAGAATGAATATTACTGTAGGTTAGACTTCCTGTGGAGGAACAAGTTTAAGAAGGAGTGTGAGGAGATTGAGACCATGGAGAACCTGAACCGGGTGCTTTTGGAGAACGTACTTCCTGCCCATGTGGCAGAACATTTCCTGGGGCGAAACTGGAAAAATGAGGTGAGTAGCATCCAAATGTCTGAAAACACCAGTCAAAATGCGTCTATTGTGTCTTTATGACCAGGTGTATTTTGTATGCTGTATTTTTGACAGGATCTTTACCATCAGTCGTATGATCTTGTGTGTGTGATGTTCGCCTCCATCCCAGACTTCAAGGAATTTTACACAGAATCTGACGTTAATAAGGAGGGATTGGAGTGTCTCAGGCTCCTTAATGAGATTATAGCAGATTTTGATGAGGTAAACTCACTGACCCTATTTTGATTTCAGATGCTGTGGAAAGCTACACTGAAGGCCCCAATATATTGCATCGTTGTTGTGTTTAGGGCATACGTGCGAGCGGCGCAACACAAAATAATCTACACCCCGCCTCCAGCAGCGTGAGGGTGTCGGAATGTTCGAATACAGTATACCGTCTCTCAGCCTTTTTGAACTTCTTTTTGCTCCCAAACGAAGAATGAAAACGAACTTCGTTTCAAGTATATCGGGGCCTTAAAGTACTTGTGAAGATATAAATGCCATCAGCGATAACTTGATCCTTCCCCTAAGCCCTGCCTTAAAAATGTTACTGACATACAGCCAAATAAGCAACTGATATTATGCAATGTACGCCTGCTTAGGTCCTTTGGATAGTTTTAAACAGAATATTTCATAAATGATCTAAAAATAGCACTTTATGTTAAAAGTTGCATAGAGAAAACTTGTGCCTTTGAAAAAATTATTATTTGTGGTATCAGCAGTTTCAGATAAATCCACACATAAATGGCACATAAAAATAAAATGAACTCTGGCTGCTTTATGTGACGATTAGACGGTCTCTTCCAGTTTAGGTGGGCGGTTCTTGGCTAGAATAAGCAGAAAAGTGGATCAGACTAGTCAAAAGTCTGGCTTTTGAGATAAGAGCAATTATGTAATACTTTAATTTCAGAGCTAAGTTCTAGTTTAAAAGCTTGACATAGTAACAGTAAAGAGGGGGGCAGGTCCTAACAAAGGATAAAACAACGGCCACAGAGCTTTACTTATAAAAATGAAATCATACTAGTTTTCATGTTCTTTTGATTCTTTTTAAAGGCTGCAGAAACAAATCTAGACAGAGCAAGCTGATCAAGCAAGTCCTAGCAATCACAGCATTTGGTACATGGCACAAGCTGATTGGCCTCTGCTGATTCTGCTTGCTCAAAATTTAAATAGTCTGGTTCAGTGTTCGCTGTAGGATGGTCTTTCAGCACTATCAGAGCTCCTCTGAAACCCTCCATCTCCCCTAGCACCACCCGTCTATTTCTTGTACGGGACAGTGTGTCTGTTTGCCTACACTCTTAAAAATAAAGGTTATAAAGGGGCGTTTTCCCAGCAGTGTCATAGAGGAACCATTTTGGGTTCCCCAAAGAACCTTTCACAGTGAGCAGTTCTTAAAGGGGACAGCGGATTCCCATTTTCCACAAGTTGGTATGATTGTTTAGGGTCTTCATGAAATGTCTGCAATATACTTTGGTTAAAATTCCTTAATGGTCATGTAAATCAACACCCTTTTTACCTTGTCAAAAACAGCTCTGTTCACAGTGACCGGTTTCGGTGCATGGCTCTTTAAATGATAATGAGCTACTGCTCACCCCGCCCCTCTCTTCTGTTTTTTTGTGTATTCGGTGGAGCGTTACCATCAAAAACAAAACTAATCCACTGTGTCCTCAGTGGCTCTGTTGTCGGGAGAAAATTAAGACTGTTTTGTTCACTTTTACATCCAACTATAGAACACCTGCATTGCTTACGAAACACTGTCGTCGCTACAGCTGCTCGAGCACAGAGAAAATGGCGGACAGCATACAACTGGCTGAGGGAGGAGATATACTAATACAGGACAGTCCATCAGCAGTTGTGGACTTGATACTCTGAAGAACATTGTAATGATCTGAAGAACTTTTTTTCCACTATAAAGAACCTTCTGCATAGTTGAAAGGTTCCAGGGATGTTAAAGGGAAAGTTCACCCAAAATTGAAAATTCTGTCATTAATTACTCACCCTCAAGTCGTTCCAAACCTGTAAGACCTTCATTCATCTTCAGAACACAAATTAGGATATTTTTGATGAAATTCGAGAGCTTTCTGACCCTCCATAGACAGCAAGGTCCTACCATGTTCAAGACCCAGATAGGTACCAAGAACATCTAAAATGGTCCATATGACATCGGTGGTTCAACTGTAATTTTATGAAGCTACGAGAATAATTTTTGTGCACAAAAAAACTAAAATAACGACTTTGTTTAACAATTCTTCTCCTCCACGTCACCCTAGCGCCATTTTGGAGAGTACCACGAAGCATGCGCGTGCTTTGAGCTGCAAGTAAACAACGTATATGCGCATCGAGAGGAAAGCATGCGCATGCATCGTGATACTCTCCATAATGAAGGCAGAGGGTGACTCGGGGGAAAATTGTTCGATAAAGTCGTTATTTTTGTTTTTTTGCACACAAAAAGTATTCTCGAAGCTTCATAAAATTACGGTTGAAACACTGAAGACAAATGGACTGTTTTGTAGATATTCTTGGTACCTTTCTGGACATTGAACATGGTAGTTCCCTTGCTGTCTATGGAGGGTCAGAAAGCTCTCGGATTTCATCAAAAATATCTTAATTTGTGTTCTGAAGATGAATGAAGGTCCTACGAGTTTGAAACGACATGCCGGTGAGTAATCAATGACAGAATTTTCATTTTTGGGTGAACTGTAAAGGTTCTTCAGAAAACCACTGATGCCAATAAAGAGTGTAGTATGGGCAGTATGAAGTCTATACTTGCTATGCAGCAGAAGCAACATCAGACCTTGTCTGCCAAGATCAAATACATTAACATCTCTTCTTAATGCTTTTGTTCTCAACAGTTGCTGTCAAAACCCAAATTCAGTGGTGTGGAGAAGATCAAAACGATTGGCAGCACATACATGGCTGCAACGGGGCTGAATGTGACCCCTGGACCAGAGTACGCGCAGGTACAAATTTGAGCTCTTGTGTTCAGTCCTAAATTATAATTCTTGTAAAGTTTCTCATTAGACCTATTGTAGGACCTACCTGTGGTGCTGAGAGCTTGATTTGTGCTTCTTGCTTGAGAGTCTCAGGGTGTAGTCAATACTGAAATGTGTGCATTGATAGTGCCCTGTTCATATTCTGAAGGACCACGACCGGCAGTACATGCACATTGGAACAATGGTGGAGTTTGCATTTGCTTTGGTGGGGAAGCTTGACGTCATCAACAAACATTCCTTTAATGACTTCAAACTGCGAGTGGGTAAGCAGGGCCTGTCAGCACTTTTACGCCCGGCAACATTTTGTTTGCCTTTCCTGATTGGCAGAGTCTCATAATAGCCTTGTGGTACAGACTTTATCAGCATTCAGGATGTGTCAAATGTTTCCGGCTTTTCTCTCACCAGGAATAAACCACGGCCCAGTAATTGCAGGAGTAATCGGAGCACAGAAACCACAGTATGATATCTGGGGGAACACGGTGAATGTAGCCAGTAGGATGGATAGCACAGGGGTGCTTGGGAAAATACAGGTCGATCCTTGTTCTGACCTACTTACTTTGCATGCCTGCTGAATTATTTATGGGTTTTTCAGTGGATCACATCTAGTGTGCTTCCTTCCACAGGTCACTGAGGAGACGAGTCGGATCTTGCAGATGTTGGGCTACATGTGTTCCTGTCGAGGGATCATCAACGTGAAGGGCAAAGGGGATCTCAAAACCTTCTTCGTTCACACTGAGATGACACGATCCTTATCACAAGGGAATGTAATGCCTTGAACCTCAGTCACACACCAGTCAGTCATTGACCTGATTAAAACATGTACAGTTCAGTATAGCGTTGGCCTACTGTAGTGGCGCTCTACAGCATTCTGTTTGCACCACATACACTAGATTATTTGCATTGCTTTATAAGTAATGGATGGCTCAGAGGCTCTGTGTAACCCAGACTTGTAATTGTGTGTTGCTCAATCCATAATTTAAAGCAGCAGAGATTTTGTAAAATAAAGACAATTAACGAAGGTGGCCATGTTTTGATGCTATCATTTTGTTATCCATTAAAATTTATATATAAATGTCAAAGTCTCTGTCTATGAATTTTAAATAGGCTTCATATGAAAAGTCTTAAAACCACATTAAAAAAAATTAATTAAACAAGTCATAGGAAAAATGTACTTCATTGATAATGCTTTAATTATATATATATATATACATATCCTTTCTTGCTTACATATATACCTTTATGTTTATACATGTTTTCTTGTATATAATTATAGTCCTATTAATAATATACTTTTATAATAATGAGAATTTGGGCTGTTTGGAGTTTTAAAAACTTAATGTATTAATATTCATTAATATTAGCGCTGTCGAACGATTAATCGCAAACAAAATAAAAGTTTTTGTTTACATAATATACATGTGTGTACTGTGTATATTTATTATGTGCATATATACACCCAAACATGTATATATTTTAATATATACATATATAAATATTAATATTTTATATATAAATATATTTTTTTCTTAAATATATACATGCACATAATAAATATACACAGTATACACACGTATATTATGTAAAACTTTTATTTTGGGTGTTACTAAGCACGATTAATCGTTTTACAGGACTAATTAATATCAATTATTTTATAATATTAATAAATTAATATTTCAGCACATAATTTCTTATTTTAGTCTCTTTTTTTAGGCACGAATTAAGACATGAGCATGTTGACAGATTGTTTTTTATTCACCCTGTAACATAAAAACATTCATGTGATTAATTCATATTATATTGTGTAGATGTTAGTAACAATCTGCTCTGCTTGTAGCATCAGACATTTGTTTTGACATTGACTGTAATGTTCAGTGACAGATGTGACCAGATGTAAGAGACACATTTAGACGGGTGTCACAGATCCATAGCCTTCCTCCACGGTCCAGGTGATCCCATTCTTACAGTAGAAATCAGAACGAATGTGAGCAACATGAGCAAAGCTCCTCCCCGAGTCGTACTGCAGCGGTGAAAACCGGCCATACACAGAAGAGGACAGAACAGGTGCTGGTCTAGATGATTCCTAAGATGGGAAGTTGAGATTAAATGTATTGGGATCTAGTTCCTCTAGAAAGCATCGTTAAAAAAAGAACAACACACGATGCATGGACTGCCGAGCTGACATGGATGGATCTCTGTGGAGTTTTGGGAAAAGGCGCACCTCACTGAAGATGTCCAGGCCCCGGGATTTGGCGTGTTTTCTGTCATCACGGTGGAGTTTGTTATCATAGTCCTCAGTGCTCTGATGTAAGCAGTCATACAGAGACCTCTCTGGAGCCTATAGTATGAGACAAAAGGATCAATTTGAATTTAGAAAATGTTATTTTGAAAATGTGTACCAAAACGTACTTGGTCTAATGATATCAGAAAGTATTTTGATCTACAGTGTACCTAAAGGAAGTTTAGACATTAAAATATATATGAATGTCATTAGTAGCATTTATAAAAGAAAAATACAACTAAATAAAAAATCTTAAATTGTAAAACTATATTTTAACTAAATATACAAATAGGCCTACAATGTATTTATTGTGCATACATAGCCTAGTGAACATTTGTTTGCAAATGCCACAAGGATTGATATTTTATGTCAAGACATCCATTTCATGTTGCTGCTTTTTTTAAAGACCCCCTGTTGTGAAAATCAAGTTTTTAACATTGTTTATGTCTCTCTGGTGTTTTTAATATGCTTAAAGACAAACCATATCAGTAAAACGGTCTTAGAAATGTGGTTTGAAACATTTTACCATTACAAACCCCAATTTTACCATTACAAATATGTGACCAATCCTGTCAAGTTGTGGGGTGGGGCTTTTAATATCATTAGCATATTATTGGAACACGTTGCCAAGTCCGCGGTTTTCGGACCCCCACCAAAGATCGATTGGGCTAATTTTGAGTAGAAATTGGGCTTTTTTTTTTTTTTTGTGAAAACCTGGCAACCCTGTTTGTGTAACATAAGCAACACGTGATTAGTTGTTTAATAACGTATTAAAGTCAAATGATATCAATTACGTTACATGTCGGTTGTAGACAGCGATACACAAAATACATTACTACTCTTTTAATGTGACTTGTCGCAACCATGTGTAATTCACTCTTTCTCTACTTACTAGAAATCAGTTTCTGGTTCAAACATATATGGCTGAATTAATCTTAAAGGGGTCATATGATGCGATTTCAATTTTTCCTTTCTGATACTTGTCTTTGTGAAGTGTTTATTAATCGAGTGAGTAGGTCCGCTCATGTGATTGAATGGAGGCGGGGACTAATTTACATATTCATAGTCATCCGCGTATGGTAAACGAGGTAAGGGTGTACAGTTACATTCAAGCCATTTTAAGGCGTGAAGAAGTTATTTCCACTATAAATGACGTTTAAATATGGCATTTTGATTAACAAACATGAGTTTTAAGTGATAAACGTAGTGACTGCAGGAGGATTTGAAAGAGCAATGCCTCTTACCTTGGGGCTGCAGTTGAAATATCGCATTTCTTTGGGCTCTGTCCTTCTGGGCGGTATAAAGCTGAATACTGACAGCGTGGAAAGCGGTTTAGACTTCGCTTCAGATAATACGTCCATAACAACAGTTGCACTTTTATCGCTGGAGAGCTGGAGTAAAATTTCCGCAGTGACACCTCGGCGTCTGCGGTTGCTAGGAAACTTCTGGAAAACTCACGTCCAGTTGTTTACCATTGGAAGCGAGAAATAAAAGGTGTTTTTAATAGCCCGACAAAACGACAAAGAAAAGCAATTAGTGCATGGACAAAAAAAAAAAACATTTTACAGCTAAATTTTGCTGCTAAATTATTTATTAATTTACTGTTTCCTTGTTTTATTTAGCTACATTTTAAAATATTATTAAAACAAACAGCTTTAAATGTCTATTGCAGATGTTTACAATCACCTAGGACAGTGGTTCCCAACCCGGGGGTCGCTAATGATTTTCGAGGGGTCGCCAAGTGCACTCGTTTTTAAAAATAAATAAATAATATATATATATTTCATTTATAACAGCACAATAAATATTTCAATTCTAAATATTAAAAAAAAAAATCATTTATGGAAAGAGAAGAAATTCTCTTAACGTCGAGAATTTTTTGCAGCGTATCGCGAGAGTGGGAACGTACAGACGTAACTTTAAAAAAAGACGCAGCAAAGAGAAAATGGCAAAGCGCCAGGGAGAAGATAAAAATGAATGCGCTAAAAAGAAAACAAGGACTTATTTGGACAGTTATCTTGAGTTCGGTTTCATTGAAGCAATGGACAAGGTGAGAATTTAGTGTGTAATCTGTGGTGAGAGACTAGCGAATGAAAGCATGAAGCCCCGCAAACTAAGAAGACATCAGAGCACCAAACACCCACAGACGGTTGGTAAACCCAGAGAATAGAACCCTTAACAAGAAGTTGTTATTTCAAATAGACCCCAGAACATCAGAGATGCTTTGACTAGAGCTGCAAATGAAAATAGGCAGGCGACCGTTGCATCCTTTGAGTGCGCTTTCCTAATTGCCCAATCAAAAAAGCCACACACCATCGGGGAAACTCCTCAAACCTGCATGTGTGTGAAAATGGCAGAAATAATGTGCGGGGCACAGGTGGCTTCGAAACTAAAAACTGTACCTCTGTCCAATAATACAATAAAAGACAGAATCGACAGAATGGCGAATGATGTTGAGAACACGTTGGTTGAAAAGTTAAAGATGCACCCATTTTCTATCCAACTTGACGAAACGTCTACTGTGGCAGATGAAGCAGTCCTCATTGCATATGTGCAGTACATTGAAGACGGCGAAATAAAACAGGACATACTTTTGTCAACTCATTAAAAATTGTCAGTGTTAATATAGGGGTCTCGTGAAAAAAAGGTTGGGAACCACTGACCTAGGACACATTTCTCAATAGTTAGATCACTATTTCAAAACTCAACCGATTTCCATCTTGGCACAGCAGTTAATTGCGCATTCAAAATATAGGCTGTACTAGGCCTAAAACTAACAAAACACTTCATGCAGGTCTCAAATCAGCTCGTTCTTCCATAACACTAGCAAAGCTAGTCACCCAACAACTCTGTCACTTGTAAAACAATGAATGACCTAAAAAAAAACACTAATAAGAGGTGGCATTATACAATGCTTTATTTTGTTAAATTTCCTTACAAAACGCAAATGACACTCTCTACAGTTAGAATTCACTGCAGTGTATGTTGCATGGTCATGTTTACGTTACAAAATTATTACTAAGGTGTCCCTTTCTGTACAGATGGTAATAAAACTGAAAGACTACATCAACTACATCCAATAGTTTTTCTAGTATTTCATTTTTAGATTTAGAATATATTTCAGTTTGGTATTAGGCTACTGTCTGCACATTTAGCAAACTGCTGTCTTTATTCAGGTTTGTACAATGCTAGGTTTTGAATCGAGTTTAACAGTTTTGAAAATATTATAAATGTGCAAATTGCCTGGATTCATGTAATTTGAAAGATGCAGTCATTGAATACATTTTGCGTCAAAGCAGTGATAAATGATCCGCAGTTTAACCCACATAGACTGCTGTTCTGTGAACAGTTTTGAGAAAGTGACCTAAGCATCAATACATGGAACTTTGTGATTGTAATAAATAAATGTAAAAATGTAATTTCTACATTTAAAAGTGATTTATTTGTATTTTTATGTTCTAAATCACACACTGATACTTTTTCCTTCTTTTATGTCCTACACAAACACCTCCAACTTCATAACCAAACTCCAAGTTTCCTTCCTTTGCTTACTTATTATATCGTTGTCCTAATAAGGATGTCATCCAGTTATATTTATTTGTGCGTTTGCAGGCAAAAATGTATGGCATGTGCAAATGTGTGTGTGTGTGTGTGTGTGTGTGTATGTGTGTGCCTGGTATTTATCACGTTAAGGGGACCAAATGTCCCCACAAGGATAGTAATACTAGTACATTTTGACCTTGTGGGGACATTTTTGAGGTCCCCATGAGGAAACAAGCTTATAAATCATACAGAATTAGTTTTTTTGAGAAAGTAAAACTGCAGAAAGTTTCCTGTAAGGGGTAGGTTTAGGGGTAGGGTTGGTGTAGGGCAATAGCACATACAATTTGTACAGTATAAAAACCATTACGCCTATGGAATGTCCCCATAAAACATGGAAACACAACATGTGTGTGTGTGTGTGTGTGTGTGTGTGTGTGTGTGTGTGTGTGTGTGTATGTGTGTGATCTCTTATTGGTCCCTCTCTTCCCTGAATGGAGCACATCTTCCAGGAGGAGGCAGTGGAGGAACATCTCTTGCTAAAACTAGAGAAAGACAGAGGGAATATTAGTAAATTGGTAGAACCAAATTTTCAGACATCTATCTATTTTTATTGGAAGAAATGGCATATATATATATATATATATATATATATATATATATATATATATTAGG